AGAGAATTACTCTGTTCGACCAACAGTACTTAAAAATATCTTCAAAGACATAATAAAGTGGTTCGGTGCAACACGTTGTTTGTATTTACTATATTTTATTTAACGCAAAACCTTTGAAATTAATTGAGTCAAGTGCGCATGTTTATATTAATATTTATTAATAAAGTCAAGTGCGCATGTTTATATTAATATTTGCTGTAGTAGAACAACAGCTAAAAATCGTTATTATATTGGCACTCAAAACATTTAAATACCGGTCCATTATCGCATCCAAAAAGTGTTGAACAAATTAGTCTGATCAATTTTTAACTTAATTCATAATTTAATTGTAACATTTTTCCCAATTTTGTTTTTGGGTTTCGTTTTTATGACCGCGAGACAATGAGTAATAATTCTATAACAGGAGTATTTTTTCATCATTAGCATTACATAACCAATTGATCTTTTAATAAAAAAATCACATCATTCTGAAATTATCATACTATTAGATTCGTGGCCACAGTTTTATTTTTACTTTATTTTTTTATTTTTCAATCAATGTTTAAAAAAAATGAAATTAGGCGTTAATTAAAATGTTAAAATGAGTAGGTGCAAACAATGAATACAATTATATTTATTTATAATTTAAAAAAAATATAAAATGTTTGCTAAACTGAGTTAAGAAAATATTTGTTCATAGTAAAACTTTCAAATTATCGAGTTAAATGTATTTTTTATTAATTTTTAAATTTAAGCTGTCCGGTTAGTTTAATTCGACTGTATCGAGTTGATTTATTTAATTAGTTTTAGTCCGTCTTAGAATTTGAACAAATGCACGTATTTCAATCAAATAAACGTTTCTATACTCTAAAATCAACGTGGTCGGCGCGGCGGTGTTGTTAATAATAATTATTATATTTATTAATAATCATGGTGAAAATGTGTTAAAAAAAAAAACATCTGTCTCCAGTTTCATTTGTATACTACTGCGTGCGTCTTGCCCGTTTAGTCACGTCAACGGAAAATAACCCAACTCATTTCTGATGTATATATAATAATATATTCGCGTTTGCCGTGGAAATAATATCGTTTTATGTGTTCCGTTTCGGCGTATCGGGAAAACGAATTTTCTGGTCAACTAAACGATTTCCATATTTCCGACGGCATTCGAGCGAGAGCCCATATCGCATATAAGCCGAAGAAAAGAGAGAAAAACGAGACGACGGTATATGTGTGTGTGTGTATATACATACATAGTGGCCGTGGTCTTTATGGGATAGCAGGGGAGGTGGAGAGAACGTATTTATACGGATGGTTGAATGTCACGCGGGTCTCTGGAAATAGCCCCATATATTTCCTCGGCAATGCGCGCCGGGGAGACTTTATTTTCGACCAGTCAAAAGTCTGCAGCACCAGGGTCGATGGGGGGGGGGGGGTGAGGGGTTGCGTTTCCCCCGACTTTTTGATCCGTACTAAATTGGATGTCCACATGCGCTCCTATCGCCCCTCCGCCGCCGACACCGCCACCGGCTCCAAATAGCAGCAGCCTTTGAGCTTTTCGTTATTATTTTTTTTTTTTTTCCCCATCTCCTTGCCCTTTTTTTTTCTTCTTCTTCTTATTATCCGCGTCGGACAAGCCCGCCGCTCCCTCCTCCTCCTCCTCCGGCGCGCAGTCGACTTTTATACATACATTTCGGTGCCGGCAGTTTCATTTTCTCCGGGGCCGGATTATACGGTTAAAGATAGGTACTCCGCCGGAATAACGTACAGAAAAATCCTCTTTAGTGTACCGAGAAAAAAAAAGGAAAGAAAGAGAATATATATTTTTCAATTTGCTTTCAAACCAACGGTCCCGCCGCCTCAGCCCTGTCCACCGCGCTCGGGGAGAGCACGGTGAACGTTATTAAATAGACATGCCGGAAAGAAATCCACTCCCGTGCACCGGTCTCTTGCCGGTATTATATATATATATATATATATATATATATATAATGTTTTATATTCCCATATGATTTAAAATTAATTAAAAATATTTTCTTGACCATAATCCAAAGTCTAAAGTGGAATACCTACTGCTCGACTCTGCGGTCACCGTTTTATCAAGGTCATAAACTAAATCTCGATGCCAATTCAAAATCGCTTTCTACAGTTTTTATGTTTTAATTGTAAAATAAAAAGAGCTTTAGACGAGAAATTAACTTTTGTTCCTCTCTAAAAACTCCAGGACAAAACATATATACTTTATTCTAGTGCAACACTCATTATTTATAAATGTATCATATTAATTGAGTTATTCACTGTCTAGTTATGAAATAAATGACATCACACAAACGTTAACCGTTTTCCACTTAAATTATATAATAAGGAAACATCAAACAATTATTAGTGTTATGAATTACAGCACAAACAGTTTTAATGACAATTTTAACGTACTTATATGCTTTTATAGATTTTAAAACTATTCATAATGTTTGCATGTTCGTTATATAATCTATTTTTTTTTGGTTGGGTCCATGGTTATGACCTAAGTTATTGTAGTCGACCGTAGAACCTGTTTTATTCGAGGCCCCTGGGCTAATCATGGTACTGTCGTTGCAGTAACTATCCAACATAATAGTTAAAGCGGTAGAGTGAGACTAGGTATACTGTCTGCGAGTAACTAAACCAGTAAATAGGTACATATTTTGTAAGTACTTTATAAAAATAATAACGTTTACATTTATCATAGCAAACTATTGTAAACGTGTATTTATATTTTGTACCTATAGTACTTTCCTATAGACTCAATCGGGCCTGAAATAAACGGTTTTAACTGCATTTATAATAAACCGCCGTTGTCTCCCAAACAGTATGAGGATCGTGTTTATCAAACATTACGTTGTCGACGCGGTGAAATTGGAGCGCCCACTCTTCGCTACCGCTAATGCGGTCGACCCTCCGCACTGCAGCAAACCTACATGTACATAAAATATCGTTGGGAATGTCCACACAAGAATGTTTTTGTTTGTTTTGGATCCCCTGAGCATTTGTTTAAAGAAATTCCTAAACGCACCCCTCGACAAACCCTGTCCGGTGGAATATTGTTTTTTTTTTTTATAATAATATCATTACAACCTGGTTTTATTATTTTTCACTCTAAAGTTTTGAGTACTTTCAATATCTACGTATGTGTAATGCCATTGTGGCCAATCTGACGGACAGTTAAAAAAAAACAAGTGGATGTGAAAACTAAAAAACTTCAAAATTATTTGCGTGAGGGTAGTTTATATACGTAGGTATACCGTATGATATTTTGTAGACTTGGAATAATATGTTTGAACGCGTTACTTCGCTATTTTAATCTAAATTGGGTTTAATTGTGGATCAAAAGGTTGATTGAATTGTTTGAGCATTGGAATTGGTATATAATACATGGATATATACTTACATGGAACATACACTTAAATGGAAACACGGACCGATTCTATGGATACATGACGTATACGTTGAATTAATAATTGAATGTATACATTACCTAAATCGTTAAATATTATAGTTAAATGGATTTTGGATATAATATATTATTTTGAATTTTCATAGAAATCGAACTTAAGACTGAAATCTTAATGTTAAGCGATTATTTATAAAATAACAAACAACTGGTATTTTAACGTTAAATTTTCATGATAAATTTAGATGCACAAAAATTTTAATAAATTTGTCTTCTTTTAGTATAGTTTAATAAACATTTCAAGTTGACCGCAATCATGATCAATCTGTTTTATCCTAACCTAACTAGTAAATACCAAAGGAATCGTTTAACTCCTAATAAACATTTATGCAATCTGGCATTCGAATGATGAATAATTAATTTGCAACTTCAAGTTTAACCGCATTACTCCATCACCAAGTTTCTATAATTTAATTGACGTGTTCACTATTGTTTTTAATGTTAATATTCTTCGCCATTCTCGTATAAATGTATTATTTTTTCATAATATTAAACAATATAATATAACAGTCAATAACAACAATTTGATGACTGTAATGTGTGTGTGGGGGAACTTTATGGATTTTCTATTTGGTTTGTCTATTATTTTTTTCATCAGGGAAATATTTCATTCGAAATTCAATTACTGTAGTAGTGCGTTGTGGGGAACAACACGGTATCCCGTAACCTCTGGCGATGAATATATTTTATTTTTGTCCAGCGTTTAAAACTCGCCCCAGTTGATTTCTCTACGGTTTTTACGGATAAACTGTCCAAAATTAATTTACCGAGTATTATAAGCGATACTATCTAATTGAATGACTTCTAGTCTCTTGAACATATTTATGTTTGTACATTATTTGCGTTAGATAGTTTTAATCGTATACTTATCATATATCATTATAAGAGTTCGTATTATTTCTAAAATTTAAAAAATTAAGAATAAATAAAAAATCATATTGCACAGAGAATACGTTGCTTAGGAGAATCTAGCATGGCGCTATCGAATCGAATACGGAATTACTACTATGCGCTCACACACACACATACATACATTAAAATGCCAGTTATTGTTCGTTAATAAAAAAATATACAATTCTTTTCCAACAGGAAACCGACGTACCGGCATTGTGCGTCTAATGTATGTATATATATATATATATAGGGGTTCAAATCCGTCAGGTAGCTATACGGTATAGAGCTAACTGTTTAAATGCGAGAGAGGGCACATACACGGTTATATTATGCGCGTACGGTGTTTTTACATAACATCATCACCGTCACACGAACTGGGAATGCACGGGGGAACCGTAGATAAAGGGTTAATGTTCGGAAATTTTAAAGGCCGACGGCGGCACACGAGGAAGGGGTTGACACACATGAGAAAAAAAAAAGGTACCTTTTGTGTTATCCGGCACAGATGTGTCAGTAGGTTTAATAATAATAATAATAATAATACAAAAACCCACTATGTTTGGGGAAGTAAATTTTTTAGAGGAAGGGTTAATCCAGGTACACGGTGCGTAAGACCTGTTTGTATGCGGTAGTGTTGGTTCGTCGTTCGTTCGGATTGCATTACACTGAAAACTAGTTCAAAAACGAGGAAGTAAGCAATGAGGAAGTGCGATCCTAGTAAGTACTGGCACATATTGTTATTTTATTGGAACAAACCGTTTATCATTTGGGACGAGCAAATAATATGCAGTAAAATAGTAGATATAGTTATATAGATATATAGTTACTAGATGTACAGTTTTCCTGTAATGCTGTTTAATCGAAGTCATAAACTTGTATAAAATACTCGTGAACCCTTTTAGAACGTGTTAGAATTAATAGATGAACAGCTTATACGATTGTCTTATACAATAGTCTATGAATTACAGGTACTGCTGAATAAAAAACTAAGAAATTTCAAATATTATTTTGGTATTAATTTTTATATTTAACATTTAAACACAATTTTTTTTATTTCCCTTCTAATAACTTTGATAAACTTCATTTTAACATTTCAATATACTTTATTAATCAAACGTCGGTACAGGTCAGGTTGTTCATAGTCAGACTAGTGTATTCATTTTTAATATAATAATATAATATGAAACATAATGTTAAAAACTTAAATATTTTAGTTTGACAAAAACAATGCTAATGAATTTGAATAATCGCCATCAGTCATAATTTAAATATTTTTGTTAATAATTTGACACACAGTAAACACATTAACAAAATCATTTATTAAGCCTATAACGTTATTATAAATATTAATATCTATAGATTTTCTTAATTTTACTGAATGACAGTATTCGGTAAAATAATTTAGCTAATATGTACTAATATGTTACTGTTTATAATTAGTCAATATATTATAAAATATTATCGTTTTAAATTAGGTAGTCGATACAACTTGGTGATTTTTTTATTTCAAGTTTCGTAACCTTTCTGAATGTTTTAAAAAACATAAAAATAATATTACACTATAAAAATGAGGTTCGCTTTATAATCTTTATTTCGGTTACTCATTTCTTGCATAGAAATTTTTAAATGAGGTGAAATAGTACATAATTAGAAATTAGGTATTGAACTTCGATGTTTAAATTCATACAATGAGGTTGTGTACTTTAAAACCAACAAAAATGCAAAACGACCTATTATTATTATTTAACCGTAATTGTTTTTTTTGCGCATTAGAATGTTCTGACGGGCGAGATGATAATTTGATAGCTGTCGAGCAAAAGAAATAATTTCCGGTTTAAAAAAAAAACAGAAAAATTAACATCATGACGGCACGGTCAGAAGTATTATAGTTTTTTTTCCGATGATTTTCTTTTTCGTTTAGTTTGTTTTATATTGTTGTCTATAGAGGCGGACGTTGAGGCAATATAAGCAAACAAATAAAATTACATCTTCACACAACTTGGTGATGTTATCATTTACAACAACTGATATTATGTATTGATCTAAAATGTATCAATCTAATACAATCGATGGCGCTTTATGATACTATTATTATTTTTTTTTTATATTCTTTGGTGCTTGTAAACGTCCTAGTGTTGTATTATAACGCCGGCGTTGGGATGGTTTTGGACGGAAAACTATATAATAATTATTATTACAACTTAGAACGTGGAAACCGGCGGCGATGGGCAAAACTATAAAACCGCAGTCGCCGAGTGGCTGGAGCGCGCGGTTTAACCCGGTCGGCAACCACAGTGGTCGCGCAGCACACACACACTCACACTAACGTTTTCCAAACTTGAATAATAATTTATGTTGAACGAGTTTGGCGCGTTAAGAGCTGCCAACTCCACACTTGCAGTACTTTTGCACAAACGCGCAGTGGAAAGGAAAAGAGAGAGGCGACGATAGAGAGAAGAGACGGCCCATGTGTACGCGTACACGTCGCGTTATACTTAAACAACCAAAACGATTTTCCGGCAGCTTTTCCGCTGGCCCTTTAACAGTGTGTACACACGGTATACCCACGGTAAACACACTCTCCTCGACCACCACCACCACCATCCCTTGGCCGGCTCTCGGAACACCCGGCAAATGTGTTAGGCGTCACCGCGGGTAAACGAATTGGAAACAAATAATAAAAAATAAAAAAAATGGTCCGACTTTACTATTTTTATACGCGACGAGCAACTCCATTGACGTCTAATGCACGCTTCTTTAGCTTTTTTACCCGACCACCGTCGACCCGTACTTGTCGCTCTTATTTCCGAGACATAAAACATTTTGTTCGACTACCCGCAGCTGTAAAATATTTCGGTTGTTTGTGCGGACGTTTCCGTTTTTGCGCTCCCTACATGTTTTTTTAACCACCGCCGCCGAACAGAACGTGCTGTTGTTGTTGTTGTTATTTATTTATTTTTTCTGGAAATTTCCGGGCATGTCTAGCAAGTTGCGAGGGTGACGGGTCATTACTAAAATATATTAGAGAGGGTCCGGCTATTGGCGACGACCAATAGGGTTCTAATCCGTCGCGCAGCCATGTTGGTCAGTGCCAGTGCAATTTTTATATGCCCACGCACGGACGAGGGTGCTCGATTTTTCTCCTCCCCCGTGCAAAAACGGCGACGACTCCATTTCCCTCCGGTCACACAAAAGGCTTTTTTTTATACAAACACAAAATCCCCCGATTAATGTGCGTTTACAATAGGTAAACACGATTTTCTTTGCAACATTACCTTTTTTTATTTTATCCATTAACCATATTTTATATTGCACCGATTAGGCACGACTGCACTGCACAATATGTATCTAGTTGCATTTGGTTGACTTGAGATACATTTATTTTATTTACTTAAGTATAATATATATATTGTCCCTGTGGCTTAGGAAATTACAATATGAAAACCCCTATTTTTAAAAACAATCCGTTTTAACATTAAATGTGAATTATAAAAAAAAAACAAAATTGTCAAATGATAAAAAATAATGATCATACTAAATACTATGTGCAAAATACAAACAAATTATATATTTGGTTTTCACTTTATAAAATTGACAATAAAAATAAACAATGCATAAACTTCCAAACTATAATTATTATCAAACTCGCCTTGTTGATGTAAAAACATTAATTTCCAATGCCTCTAAACATAATAGTCGGCAAATTAAGCGACCACACTAGACTATTAAAGTTAGAAACAATATGAATAAACAAAGATTGCGCAATTATTAAAATATAGTTAACATAACATTAATATGCATTTTAATAATTTATAATAAACGTGCATTAAGTTAATATGTATCATTCGACAATTATAAATTTATAATAGTTGTATTTAATAGTTTAAAAAATAATAGCTATAAAATCAGTGATTGATTGAAATAACGAAACGTGGCCTTAATTGTCCACAAGCATTAACTCGAATAATAGTAGGTACATTATTATTTTAATATACTAATTGTTACTTAATAGAACATTATAATATTTTAATGTACACGTGTTAAGGCATTTCTGTTTTCTTTATTATTTACAATTTACGAGTTCAATGTGTATAAAGTTATTATGAGACGTTACGGACTACTTAGAAAATTAAAGATCCTATTATGTAGTCACGGTCTTGCTACAATAGCTAACAATGTAACATTATAGTTAGAGCAGAGTTAGACACCGTCAGCTAGTAACTGAACACGTGTTTCTCTTTAAATAAAATATATTGTAGGTATGCATTTTTCAGCATATCTATTTTAGTTTAAGTAAAATTCTGCAACGACACTAAAAGAATTAGAGATAGCGGTAGTGTCTCAATTTTTTTTTATATATAACTGTATGCATTTATATTTCGATATAGATAGTGTCCACTATTGTATTATTTCATAAAATGTATTAAAATCACGTCAGCATAATATGTACCGAGTTTAAATTGGGACGAAGATTAAAATGATTTTAATTTTTTTTTTGTATTAAGATAGGTACAGAAGTTTTAAAAACATTAGTCTTTTTTTTTTAGTGTAGATTCATCAACCGGGCAGTCTTTGATATTAGCAGTGTAATTACAGTCTCAAAGTGCACATTTGTCTTTTAAGCATTCACCGGTATGGTGCGGTCCTCGCTAAAAAAAATTTACAAAACATGAATTGAATTCATGACACAACTGCACATTGGTAGATTAGATTCCTTTCGAAAATATTGTTGTCAGCGGTTGTAAAAAAAAATTGTTTGACTATAACGGCCAAATGTACGGTGCGGTTAGCTTACTTTATGTTATGTAGGTAATGGAAGGTCTATAGTTAATTTCTATCATTTATTTTCGGATATGCCTATCCAAAAAATCTGTTAGAACGACGAGGTCCTTTGTGTTTTGGTAACCAAATTTTTTTCTAGCGTTTGAAACTTCAAAGCGGCCGTTAAGCACACTATCGTTTATCTCCTTCGGGCGAGCAAGAGATTTTCCGGACCGCCCCTCCCCCCTACAGTGTGTGTGTGTGTGTATACAGTATATTAACTATATATAACAAGGTAACTTTACGGACCCTTCAAGTCAAACAACAAGGGTATAAAATCGATGAGAACGTATTTAAATTAGTCGGGTCAATTACCGTCGGCGGCGGCAGTGGGTCTAATGCCACGCGCTATCTGCATTATTATTATAATTATTATTATCATTGTTGGCACAGTATACGTATAGTAGCGTATAGTGACCGGGCAAAAGAAAAACTCGGCTACATTGTTACAGTAGAAATAATATTGTGCAAGGAAATGGCGGTGTATGAAGAAGGGCTGCGAGTGGGAAGAAAGGGCAAGAAACACCAACTTTGACCGGAGTTGCGCAGAGGCAGCTTGCCGGACCCTCGAATGGACATAGGCCAATCGATACTTGCCCACCAAAACACAATGTGTATGTGTGTGTTATTTTACACTTTTATCCCCCAACATGACTACTCCCAGCGGTAATGGCGGGCCACGGCGCATGCAAGTTTTTCCTTTCCTTCACACCGTCTTTACTACTTGCACACACACACATATATATTTATACACATCGCGGTATATGTCCAATTTATTTTTCGACCCTTTGCTTATGCGTGTGTGTGTGTGTGTGTGTGTATGTATATACTCTATTACACGTATATACTTATGTATAATATGCGTGGAGAAATGTTGTGGCCCGCATGGGGGAAAAGTCGGTAAAAAGTTGTTTTCTTTATTTATATATACGTTTAGATACGTCCCGTGTAAACACCGCCACCCCGCGAATGTCGAAGGAGAACGACTTGGGGGTGTTTATTTCTGAAAAAAAAACCAAAAGTAAATAAGCAAACAATATCATAACATACGGTTATAACTTATTACGTTAAATGTACAGAGGTTACGGTGCAATTGTAATTTATCAGAGCACGTCATAATGTTTAAGGGCAGCGGGCGGCTCGGAGGGTGCAGATTTTGTCCGTGCAATTAAGTAATAATGTTAAATTAGGTACTCAATTACTATAACGGGTGTACGCAACGAGACTCGTTAAGATTATATACTATACACCGCATCCTAATTATTATTGTACCGTCGCTCATCGCATCTATTTTAATTTTTAGCCGATAGAAATCGAAATCACTCTTAACGGTATTCAACTTTTATAAAAATAAAGTAACGCGGATTATAGTATTATTAAAGTACACTAAAGTGGTATTTGTCAGGCTTTTTTTATAAATCTATTTCAATCGCACATACTACAATCGTTGTTTAAAAAAAAGCCGTACACATAACATCATAACAAAAAAACATAATATTGTCGTCTAAACGGGCCGAAAATAATAAACTGCATGAAGATGACGAAGCTAGTTTTTTCCTGAATATAGTTGTGATTGGCCATGAAAGGGTGTATGAACATAATAATTGCTTAATAATATTTTTCGTCACCGCGGGGGTAGCACACCATAAGGATATACACGGTAAAAAATAAAACATTAATAACAATCCGAAGCGTGCAGCTTGAGCGTACAGGGTTATTAAAAAAAATAAAAGTGTTAAATCATGATCACAACAATTTGGCGTTAGTGATATCAAATAAATATGTACTAGGTACCTACAACAATAAATTTGCCATAAAAGCATTTACAATGGGTGAGTAGATGGTTAAAAATTAAATTGATATTTTTCAATCCAAACAGTAACTACACAAAGAAAGGATATAATATTATCTTTAGTAGATTTGGTGCGAACGTTTGTTATTATATATTTTACAATAACAAATTAACAATGCAAGCGTTCATTTAAGAATAAAAACATTACAATTTGGTATCCCACGATTGATTTACATACAACGCTTAAGTATTTTATTGATTTACAAAATAGTACTGTAATGTAAAATTGCTTAATTTAAGTTAAAGCTTTTAGATAAAATAAATATTAAAGTTTCAGTTATCAGTAATCATCGATTTATAACCGGTAACTGATAATAGAAAAAATGTATATATCATCTGTGGTGATAATAATATTTAAAACAAGTACTTACTCTTTTATGTGTGTGTGTAAGACTTGTCTTCGTAGCTATTGTCTATTAAATAGACTTTATTTAGTTTATAACAAAACACCAATATTATAATTTATAATGTTCACAATAATTGTTAACAGGTTAACAGGTTATACATCAATAAATAACATATATTATTTGTTCTATTTCAGTTATCACTTATTTGCTGTAAAAAAAAATCGTAATATCATATTTGAACTTTAAATCAAATTTATACATTTTGTGTTTATAACCTGGCTGAATCAACAACATAAAATTTAATTCGGATTTAAAACATCTTCATCTAAATAAACTACGAGCTCGGTGGTAGTATAATATTAATTCTCCAACAATTTTTTAAATTTTATTTTCAGAAGATAAAGAAGTAAGAGAAATGCAGATAACATCAGTGACACGGTTTGCGTACAACGATAGTATGAAATCACGATTGATCGGCAGTAATCTGTAAGCACACATAAATTATAAACTATCTTAAGTATGTATAGGCACTTTAAGTTCATTCAAATATGAGAGTATTGTAGAAGTATATAAATAAAATCACTTAAAGTCTGTTGATTATTTCGTTATATTTTAATTTTATCTTTTAAAATAATTGTTTAGTAGAACAACGCTGTATTTAAGATTAAGTCGAATAAAAAACGGATAATAATGTTTAAACAGTATGATTGTTTTAGGTAATTCTTATAGCCACTTAATACTTACTACTAGGCTACCGCGTTGACTAGGCTGTAAAAAATGCTTTTTTTTTTTGCAAATTCATGGACGTTTGTGTCGAGTAACTTTCGAAGAGCCACTGCGTGTGTAGGTATAATATCAAAACAGTTATATTGGACTTGTGTGTACAGGTAAGGGCGCGAACACCCGATACGTCGTCGTCCCCCGACCGGTCATTGTGCGCTTGTACGCCATTGGTCATGACCCCCGTTCCGTTTGACCCCGACGATGACCGACCGGGATAACGTCAGGTCCGTTTACAGCACGCGCACCTGGACGTGGACGGGTTTGACCAGTTCTTGTATTTTTTGTATTTTCTATGGCCATAACGCGTCCCGAAAACCGTCGGGTCCGAATCCAGAAATTTCAGGACTACTCGCCGGGCCAAACGGTTTTTGTACTCGTCGCCGTGCCGGGTTAGGTTATTCGCCAACAAACCGGTTTCCGGTAGTAGGCCGTTGGTAATAGTAATAATAATAATAATAATAATAAAATATAAATTCGCACATACGGTCTCGGCAGCCTTTTATTTTACCCTTCGCTACATTATCTTTGTGTGTGTGTGTTTTTTACGACGGGGCGGCATTTTTCGCCAACCCTTTTTTTCACATGCCCGTGACTTTGACAATGAAGATTCACTATCGTCGGTCGTTACAGCGTGTCGTATACCTCTACTACAATATATATTATATCACATAACGTGAACGGTTTTTTATCCCCCGAGATTTATGCGCCGGCAGACGCGCGCCTTGGCCGTCGAGAATATACATATTATTATTATTATTATGAAACAAAAAAATATCGCTGTACCTCCAACGGTACATAGGAATTCGCTGAATCAATATTATGATGCACATGACACGGGGGACTTATGGTACTGTATATTGTGTGCTATAGGTCCGAGATCAGGGGTCGACCGAACAAGTAGATCAGAGATCAAACGGGGTCGGCGCCGCGGTCCATATTATATTATTATATGATTGTGTTGACCGCTGGCAAACTGGTTGCTGCGTGGTCCAGTTGTTGTGTGTTTGCATGTACCTGCAGCAGCAGCAGCACTTATGGGGTGGACGCGATTATATTGGCTCGTGCTACAGGCGCCGGACGACCCGAGATCAAAGGTCGGTCGCAGGGATGCAGTGCTCCAGTTTATCGGGTCCGGATTATTAACATAACTATTATGAATATTATTATTATTATGTACCGTCATGCGGCGCACAACAACCGGTCGGGAGAGAGCGGCCGAGACGATAACCATCTTCGGACCCCATTGACACCGGATGGATGACCCTAGAAGATCCGCCAAGGGTTTTTTTACGGATAGCGAGGACAGGGGGGGGGACTATCTTTTTTTTTTTGGTGTTTCCTCGGCACGTTTTTGCATACGTCAGTCTGAAGGGGCCCATTGTGAAACGTGATGACTGTGCGCGCTCAAAGACCACTCGGACCCCTCGGACGATCATACATTATGATTTGAACGCGCCGAGACGATCCAATATATAAAGTACATGTGTCTCGTTCGAGCACCTCGTCGAATCGCGCCCTTGCCCGCACCGCACCGCACACACACACACACTCGAGTCTATAGAGGCCAATTATACCAATTATATTATTTATGTTGTGATTGGGCAAGTGTAAACCACCACGCGATATCGCGCGAATTCGGTGTATAAACATAGTAATATGTATATTAGGTATTTGATTGTATAAAATAATATGATATATTATAAAATGTTCCTTGATTGACTACGATCGACGTTCCGGTAGGCAATAAGGTCTGCGCGATCGGTGAGAACGTCTCGACAAGATAAAAAATAAAATAAAAATGATTTACGTTTGAGAGCGACGGACCCGAAAAAAAATAACAAATCATCGATGCTCGTTCGAGCGTTATGTCTTGGATCTATGCCGTGTGTATTATTATTTTTGCACGTCAAAAACAAAACAAAACAAAAAAAAAAGGGGTGAAATTTATTTTGGGTTTCTGTGTCGTCTTTTGGCGGCGACCGGGTGCGGAGCGCCGCACACACACATGTACACATTGAACGATTGAAAAATGTTGATATTTTTCCAATAGCCATTAATGCTATCCCTGTTTTTATTTGTAATTTTTTTATATTTTATTGTTGTTGCTTACCAGCGAAAAGGGGTAAAAAAGAAGGAATAAAGGTACAATAACATGTCACGCTTCGATAATTTTACTCGTGTGTGTCTGCGGGTCTGCGAATTCCCAAACTGCGCAAGGGTTAATGTTGTTTTAACAGGTTTTTAAGTGTAACGTGCGTTTTATTTTTTTTTTTTTTCGGGAGTACCTACCTTCTGTTTACGACTATAACGCGCGCACACCTGGGAATTTTTTTTCCCCAAAAATACTCGAAACGCACGTAAAATATCGTGTAATTGCCGACAAATAAAAAAATACGCCTATATTAGGTGCACGTGAAGATGAACCGTTCGTCTCGCAGCTGCTGCGGATCTCTTGGACTCCGTCTAGCCTGGGAAATGTGGCACGGCCAATTGGATGGATACACCGTCTCTGATGGTATGTGCGGTTAAAAGTTGAGCCGTCATCGCGTTCTCTAGACGGGCACGGGCGAGTAATAAAGACGCTTCGGACCCACGTTTTTACGGCCATAAAGCTATCACGGGTTTAATGCGAAATAATAAAAACTAGCTCGCCGGCAAGGGAGGCGTCTTCATCGGCAGGCGGTTGGAATTATTACATGTACAGAGATACGGCGCGGTGGCAAGTACAAAATTATTTCCTTAATCCCATTAGTCCACGCGCGATAAAGCCCAAACCCTTATTAATCATTTACCGTCGTACAATCTCGCGGCCATAACGTTCCTGGGCGCACAATAATTATATACATTAACGAAAGACAAAAGCTCTTCCGTTTTAAGTTTATATATTTTTTCGTACTTTTATGTGCAAAATCTTAACCATTAGGGTCTTACCGGTGCCGTGGGGAGAGATGAGGCGACTGACTAAAATAACCTCACTTGTGTACATAGTCGTGAGTAGGAAAGGGTTAAGGGGCTCCTTTCATCGTCAGATTTATTGCTGAAATTTGTCTTTGAGTTATTTATAATAAATGAATACAAGCGAATAGTCAATTTATTTGAAAATAAAAAATGGAAAAGTGTTACTACTACTAGAGGCTTAAGTCTCTATAAAAGTACCCATTAGACAATATACTTGGTTTTCGGTGCTAACTATTCTTTGAGTTATGTTCTCGAGTGAGTTTGTATTCTTGCGCATAGGTGATATGTATACTTTTTGTTTTTTTATTTATAGCACTTGTTGGTTAGTTTTAAAACAACAATAATAATTTAACTGTACAAAAAAAAACACCCCAATACGACGCGATACTTGTTTTTATAGTTCTTTTTTTTTAATAAATTAAATAAAAACTTCAGCATAAAAGAGAGCCACCGAGATGATATTGTAATGTATATTCGTATTGTACATAGAATACATAATACACTCAGGGTAAAAACAACACGATATGTTTTTATTGCGTTATAATAATATATGATGATGACGACGACGACGACGGCATTGTTGTTCTTGTTGCGGCTATCAAAGTGTAGCATATTATATGTACGATCGTTATGTAGTACATAATATATATATATGTATATATTGCAGAGCCCCAAAAGTAGGCTACTATAATGTACTTGTTATTGAGGTCGTTTGCTCATAACGATTTTAACAGGCATTTTTGTATGCAATATAGTTTAATATATGATTTTCTACCGCAGCCGCAACGTGGTGACTATATTATTATTGTTAAATCGGGTCAATTATTAACCGCGAGCACCGTTTGCTGTCCGTTTGTTTAACTCTGAAAAAAACACCGAGAAATCGCAGACGGGATGTGACAAGTGAACTGTTGTCGTTTTGCACAAACGGTCCGTGCGTCAAGTTAAGTGATGTATACACCTTAGTTTATATATATATATATATATATATGGACAAAAACGACCCAGAGAATAGCTTGTACGAGTTTCCTTGAGCGCATCACCGACGGCTCTAATGATGTATGCGCACTGGGACGGCCGGACGAAAGCGGCGAAGGGTTGTTGTGTCTAATGGTGGTGACGGGGGTGGTGGCAGCACTCGGGTCGGAGGAGGAGTGGGGTTGTTTGAAACACACCCTAAGTAAATGGAAGTAGCTGACCGAAACTAGACAGAGAGTGATGTCGGACAGCAGCGAGCCAACCCTCGTTTGCAAAAGCCTCCGCGCCGGACCTTTGTGTTCGCCCGCCGTGATTTATGACGCAAACGGCTTTTACGGACCTTTTTAATGGTTTCCGCGTCGCGCGCTTGTACTTACGGTCCGGCACCGAAAACTTATCATAAAAACTAACTTTGTGCTCCGTAGTCTTGATGCGAAAAAGAAAAATGCGTCGGCCGAGAGCAGCATAGCATATACATAATGTAAGGTTGTTATGAATTTCATTTTTCCTCGGGTGTTTTATTTTTACATCCGGTGTGAAATAAAAAAACGAGAAACCTTTAGTGCAATTATACGCTTTTGCTGTCCCGCTTTCTATGTTTTTTCAAAATATTACAAATTGAAAAGCGCCGAATAGAAATTATGATGAAGTCTCGACCACATGAAACATGCATAAACCATAGATTTTTGTCCGTATCATAATGTATAAACATTAGTACAAGTTTAATAGCTTTTATCCCCTTCTTTATATAAATTATTTAATAACGA